GGGCCCTAGATAGGGATGTCCCCACAATGCACGTCCCCACCTGCAAATAACACCTCCTATGCTAATAGATGCCCATTGTGATGAGGCCACATGATGAGTACTTTATAAGCATTGTCTTGTTGAATCCTCCCCAAAACCCATGGCTGGCATTGATTCCTTTTATAGATGGAGGAACAAAGGCTCAGAGAGGTTCAGCCCAGGGTTACACCATTAGGAACCCAGGGCTGTCTGACTCTGAAGTCCAAAGTCTGACTCTCACTTCTACACACCTTTAAAAAATACCTACTGCACACAGTGGCATGAAGATCAGCTCTCATCAGACAGGTAAGGAGAATGATGGCCACAGTGGCTGTTCAATCACAAACTGTCTCCTTTCTTTCTCTGTGTCAGGCCCTGCCTTGGGACTTCCTGACCCAGTGGGCACACAAACAGGAACACCAATAGTCATTCAAGTAGCTGTGGGCCCTGGGAGCACAAAGGAGGGAGCACCCACGCCCGAGGGAGCCACGGAGGAGGGGCATTGGGGCAGAGCCTTGGAGGACAAATGGAGTTTCCTCTTTGGGGAGGTAGGAACAACAGAAGCAAAGGCTCAGGGGTGTGGCCCGCACAGGGAAGCATAAACAGTTTAAGAGGCATGGCTGGGGTTGAGACAGTGGATACCTGGGGGAGAAGGGGTCTGACTGCTATGGAGTCCTGGCCTGATCCAAGGCACTGAGGATTTTTAAGCAGGGAGAGAATAGGATCGGAACTGGTTTCATCTCTGCAGAGGGCCTGGCTGGTGGTTGAACTAAGAGTCAGGAGTGGGACTTCCCCTTGGGTCTCCCTGGCATCCCTCCTCTGAGCTGGCTTCGGGGACCATCCCAGATCCCGTGCTACTCACCCACAGGTCAGAACTGCCCCCGAGGGCTTCTTCCTCGGCCATCACTAGGCTGGGGGGAGCTATGTGGGCCTCTCCTGACACAGGCCAACCTAATCATCTCAGCCTATAAATAGGACTCAGGATTAGTCTGGAAATAGCTGTGCCAAGCCAACTCCACAGGCATCACGGGCACGCACAGTTCCGGAAATGGTTCTTCTCCTCAACACAATTAAAACCCAACACTTCCTCAGGAAACTATTGTTCACCCTCTGCTTTGCTTCCTTAAGCACGAAGTAGTCGGTTTTGGGGGAAGAACCTGCCTGCTTACTGCTGATTAGTGGGGGTATGCTTTGTGGAGAGGAGGCCCTTTTCCTGCTTCTCCTTCTCTGAGGACCTGAGGGAGCCACTATCACTCTCTGGGCCTCAGTTTCCCCAAATGTAAACTAGGGAGGTGGGACACGATGCCATTTTTAACTTACCAGGATTTCAAAAATTAGAATTGTAATAAACATGTGAGCAGGGAGAAAGGAACAGGTCCAGGGCCTGCCACGGAGGGGCTGAGTGGCCTCGAATGAGCCACTGTTCCTCTCTGGGCCCCAGATTACTCAGCTGTAAAATGAAGGTGCTGGGGGATGATGTCCAAGGTCAACAATTTTTTTTAATTTCATTTTTTTGTTTAGTACTTTTGAGAACCCAGCCAGCTGGCCAACCTATGCCAGCCTTGTGCTGAGTGCTGGGGATATAGGGACAAATAAAACCCAGTCCAGGCCTCTGTGTGCCCAGCCCTGTGCCGGATCCTAGAGTGTAACAGCATGTCCAGTCCCCTCAGTGTCCCACTAGAGGCTTTCTTTGGGGCTGCTGGGGACATCTTGTTTCTAGTTGAGAATTCAGATTTACGTCCAAAGACAAGAACTCCCTGAGGGGCAGATTACAACATGGACTGAGCTATTACAATCGACAAGGACACAAAGCTAACACAGCCATCGTTATACACCAGCCATGTGCTAAGGACTTGATTTCCCCATTGTTTAATCATCACCAACTCTATTATCACCCCCATTTCACAGATGTGGAAACTGAGGCTGAGAGGAGTAAGGGACTTGTCCAAGGGCACAGAGCAAGTCAGGGCTACAGTGATGTTTCAGGCCCAGACCTGTCTGCCTCTGGAGTCCAGGGTTTAACACACCCCAGTGCTGCTGTGAAAGGGCTCTGGACAGCTCAGGCTGGCCGGCCAATGCGGGGATAACAGAACAGGGGCATGGAACAGAAAGGGGCATTGAGGATGTTGCTGTGTGTGTGCGGTGGGGGGAGTGACAAGGCTTCAGCAATGGTACTCATTCTCTCCAGCCAGCTCCCAGCGCTGCCGTCCTCTGATCCACCCTCCACTCTGCCTGCCGTGGACTGATTGTTCTGAAATCCCATGGATCAAGTCACTCCTCAGCTGAAGACCTGTCCATGATTCCCTGGTACCCAGAGGATAGAAACCCAGTATTTAAAACCTCTCTGACCAGGTCTTCTGGTCAGCTCCCCACCTCAACCCTCACACTCCTGCTCACTAGCCCCCAGGCATAGTGGGCTCCTCCAGCGGCCAAGCCTTCGCCTATGGGGCCTTCCTGCCTGGAATGCCCAACTCCCCCTTCTCAGCCTTGTCTGACTCTCAAGTAGGAAAGGCACTCTTTGGCTCCCTGAGCCCTTTGGCACTTATCACAGAGCACTCTGGGCGTTAACTGCCACTGTCTCCGTCTTGGATTAGAGTGGATATCCAAGGGCCCGGTGGTGTCTGATTCACCTCCCTCTCCAGTGCAGCAGCTCAGCAAGGGCTGACCGGGTAAACTGAAAAATGCAAAGAGCCGAAAGAATTCTGGGAAAGTACACGTTTCCCAGGACTGCCCAGTGACAAGCCCCATACTGAGGCACAGCATCAGGACACCCTGCTGTGGAAGAACCAAAAATTGCACCCTCACGGCTTATCAGGATGGTCCTTGTGCCTGTCTCTTACAAGGGTTCTGATAATGAAATCTGGGCAAGTCACCCTCCTGCTTTAAAACTTCCAATGGTTCCCAGAGGTCTAGCATAAAATCCAAACTCAAGAGCCCACATAACCTAGATGCTGCCTGGCCCCCAGGTCCTCCTCTTGCCATGCCCCCTCCCTGGCCAGCCTCCCTCGCTTCTTTCAGTTCTTCAAGGACTCCCCCACACTAAAGCCTTACCCAGACTGCCTCTCCGCCTGGGGGGCTCCTCCGTTCCCTGCTCACTCAGCCACCTCCCTCTCCCTCTTCAGGTCTCACTTTTTAGGGGAGGCTTCCCTGATCTGTCCAGATAAGACCTCACCACTCCCACCCAATCCCACACGCTCCCATAACCCGATCGTTTCCTTCACAGCAAGAATTAATCTTTGGTGTAAATAATGATCTACCGGAAGACCCATGAGGAATGGGAAGGTCTTGTTTTTTGCTGATTCTCAAACACCCAGCTCAGAGGCTAAATATCTCTCAAATGAATGAAGATATGAATGGATGAATGAATGAATGAATGAATGAACCTACATACATATATCAAGACAAGAAGGTGGGCAGAATCCTAGGGAACGCTGAGGCAGAAAAAACAGGGCCCTGGGCCGGGCATCGTGGCTCACACCTGTAATCCCAGCAGTTTGGGAGGCCAAGGTGGGCAAATCACTTGAGGTCAGGAGTTTGAGACCAGCCTGGCCAACGTCGTAAAACCCTGTCTCTACTAAAAACACAAACATTAGCCAGGTGTGGTGGCACAAGCCTGTAGTCACAGCTACACGAGAGGCTAAGGCAGGAGAATCATTTGTATCTGGGAGGAGGAGGTTGCAGTGAGCTGAGATCATGCCACAGCACTCCAGCCTGGGCACCACAGCAAGACTCCGTCTCAAAAAAAAAAAAAAGAAAGAAAGAAAGAAAAAGAAAAACAGGGCCCTAACTAAAAAGAGAGGAGGGGCTCTAACTGAAAAAAACCCAGGGCCCTAACTAAAAAAGTCAGGAGGATAAACAGGGCCCTAACTAAAAAGACAGGAGGAAATAAACCAGACAGTGCAGCCTCCCAGAAGCAAAAGGAGGGAGTTTCTAGAACTGCACCAGAGACTGGTACATGGAATCCTGAGGAAAGCACTAGATTGGACATTGAGGAGGTCACTGGGGCCTCCGTGATTGAACCAAGGTTCCGTGGAGGTGGGCACAGGGCTGGTACATTGCAGGGGGCAGAGGAGTAAAGGGTAGTGAATAAGCAAAGCTCTCAGGTGATGGGTGCTCAGCTGGGCCTATGCCAGCCTGGCCCTGCAGGGTCTATGGAAGACAGGGCCCCTGTGTCACAGTTACCAAAAGCATCAACAGGGCATAACATTCTTTTTGTTGACAGATCACTTTGAGGTAACTTGGCTTTTGGAGTTGTCAGGGCTCAGTCTCAAAGGCAGGCGCATCAGAGCCAAGACTCGGCCCTCAATTCCTCCTATTAGGGCAGCACTAGGGCCACCTCTTTGTCACCAAAACCTTTGGGTAGCAGCTGATGGGGCGAGTCACCTTTCTGGGCCCAGCAGGCCTTTCGGGAATCACTGGCTTTTGGGGTACAACATCCTGGGGACCATCAAAAAGCCCTTTCACCTGAGCTTTGGGAAAGAGGAACCGCTCCGGCTGTGGGCGGCTCGTGTCACCATCTGGAAGCCAGCTGGGCCACAGCAGACGTGTAAGTCCTGTGTGCATTCATCCCCTTCTCCTTTTGGCAGAAAAGGGATGGTGTGGGCCGGAGAGGTGTTTTCCTGGGTTCTTGCACAATTGCTAATTAGAAATTCACTTTTGTTTGGGTGTTGGAAGCTGGGCGATTCCCCCTAGTAGCGATCCTTCCTGTCTCACTGGTCACAAAGCCCTTTGGCATCTACGAGCTCACTGGGTCCACAGAGCAGCTTTGTTAGGTGGGTAGGGGAGACCAAGGCACCCGTCTTACAGATGGAAAAACCGAGGCTGCAGCTGGGAGGTGAGCCAGTCTCCTGGCTTCCAGCCCAGGACTCTGCACTCCTCCCCCCACCTCCCCGCCTACTTCAGCAGGTCACCTGTGAATCTGATAGTCAGGTGGGCCCCACCCTGCCAGCTGGCCCCAGTGGGCATGACTCATCTGACTTCCCCATGACTCACACGCCTCGGGTGCTCCTCCTCTGGTCAACAAGTCTGGAGACTTGGCAAATGGACCCCCATTTTTCTCACCTCTCCAAAGTCTCTGGGAAGAATTCCTGCACCTCCTCTTTATGGGGACTCTACTCTTCTACAGAAGAGCCACCAAGGCCTTGAGAGGGAAAGCCACTCTCCTAAAGTCACACAGCAAGCAGGCAGCACAGCCAGGGTGGGAGCCAGGCATCCGGGCACTGAGCCCAGTCCCTGCCTCCTCCCCACAAGATCACTCTCGCCTGACCTCCCTCTCAAGGGCAGGAAAGGAGCAGAGACGCACTCTGAGCCTTATTGGGAAGACCTCAGGGACTCCCCTGAATCCACTGCGGCTACAGTGGCTGCTTCCACCACTGAAGTCCCCTCCAGGCTTCCCTGGGCAGCCAGGGCGGGGTTTAACAGGAGGACAGGTGTCTGCATTGCTCTACCTACCTAACAGGGCTGTGCAGGGTGAAGAGCGCTGCTCTGTGGGAAGGCACCCGGACCAAGGCCGAAGCACTGGACAAAGAGCTATGAGCACCACCTGTAAAAAAAGGGCACAAGAATGTCAGCCTCAGGGGGAGTTCAAGGTTATCTGGTCAAATCCCCATTTGATGTTTCAACTCCTTTCCTCCCCTCCACCAGGGGTCACACAATCAGTACTTGCACACATCCGGCAACAGGGCACTCACTACCTGCCAAGGCTGCAAGACCTGCTGCTGGAGGGTTTGGCTGGGTAAAAGAATTTTCCTAAGGACGCACTAAAATCTCTCTCTTCTTATGCCTTGTACCTGCTGGTACTAGCTCTGCCTCCTTCTGGGTCAGCCAGAACAGGTCTGTCCCCCTCTTTCCTGATGGCTCTTTGGAGATTTGAAGATAGTGATCCTGGGCCCCTCAAGTCTTCTACAAAGTGTGCACCCCCTTTCCTCCAGCTCTTCCTGAGACCAGGGTTTCTGGTTCGCTCACCCTGTTCCCTGATCTGCTCCAGATGAACTCTGTCCCTACTGACAGGACAAGACCCAGAATTAGACAATCAGACAAGCTCTACCCAGGGCAGGGCGAGCAGGACTCTCACCTCCTTCATTACAGATATCATGCTTCTATTAATTCAGCCTAAAATCCCATTCACATTTAAGGTAGTCCTATTGCATGGCTGAATTCAGTTTACAGTCAACCTCAGAGTTGTACTTTAGGACTCTGGAGTTATATAAACTGGGCCCTGACTTAACTGTGTAAGTTGAGCAAGCTACATCACTTCTCCGAGTCTCAGTCGCCTTCTCTGTTCAAGAGGGATAATATTAGAACCTACAATGAGATCAAACATGTTCAGGGTTTTGCACAAGGCATATGTTTACTCTAATTATTACCCTGATTATTAATAACTAAATTTCTAAGTCTTTTGCCTGCAAATTGTATCTTTCTCATCCTGCACATGTGCGGTTTGGGGACCCACCCTGTTGATTTGTCATATTCGCAGCTCTGTGCCTCAACATCACTCTATTACTGTTCTAATGCACTACAGCTGAGCAAGACTACATTATCAATGTCTGGTGACAGGACTTTCTCTCCCTCTAGGCTGTCAGCTCCTCAGAGGCAAGGATTCTGTCTGCTTCACCTCTGAAGCTTCAGCATGGCATGTGCCCAGCAAATGGCAGGGCCAGTGGACATATGCTAGATGAGTGGATGAAGGACCACCCCACATCAGCTCATCGTGGAGTATGCAGCTCAGTCCCCCCGCCTCTCAGGGACAACTTGGATCTTCACCCTTCCTCGCCACTAAGAATTCCAGTTAGCTACATTCAGAGGAAAGCTGAGCAAACTGGCTCCTGCCCACGCTGGAAAATTTCTCTGCCTAAACCAGCTTCCCCAAGCCGAGGGGAAGGTCCAAGATCCCGAAGGTGGCAGGGCCATGCAGGCTCCTGGGATTAAGACACAAACAAGCCCTGTTCTCAGGCCGACAGTAAATGATCCAGACAGTCTTGATGACTTGTGCATTGTGACTGACACGGGATACAGCCACGGAAGTGGAGTCACGGTACCCAAAACCAGAGACATCAGAGGCAGACACTTATCTGGGCTGCAGGACCTGGTGCCCACTTCTGTGGGCCTTTCTCAAAGACTATGGCAGAAACTTCCTGGTTCCAAGGGACGGGCCAAAGCAGAGTTGGGTTTTGTTGTTCCGGCAAATAACTAATGACCTCCCGCACTATGTCAACTCTGTGTGAGGATGAGCCTTTCGAATCCAGCTCCACTTCTTTCTACACACCCCAAATTGCACTCTCATCCTCAGATGCATATTGCAGTGCTGCATTTGTTCCCAAGTGCAACCTGCTCCTTCCCAACTGCACCTCATCTCAGCAAACAGCACTACCATCCACCATCCACCATCCACCCAGTGGACCAGTCCAGACGCCAGGCTCTCACCCTCCTCAACACACCACCTCACCCCTTTGCTCTGTCACTCTCCCCTCCAATGTATCACCATGTCTTGCTAGTTCAACCCCTGACTGCCTCCAGAGTGTCACCCCTTCTCTCCACCTCAACGCCAACATCTTGGTCCATAACCCCATCACCTCTCGCCTGCATGACTGCAGAACCTTCCTAACTGATCCTCCTGCATCCTCTCCCTCCTACAATGCATCCTCCTCAGAGCAAGCCCAGACCATGCCACTCCTCTGCCCAGACTCTACCATGGCTCCACTGTGGCCCCAGATAAAGTCCAAGATCCTTAACAAACCTCTCCACATTCTTCATGACCTGTCCCCTTCAACTCCTTCAGCCTCAGCCCTCACGGCTTCCTGTCTTCCACTATACCCCACCAGGCTCCAGCCAGATGCAACAGCACTCTGTTCCTGAGTCCTCCATGTAGTTTCCGCACAGACCTCCACACCCACTAGTCTTCCCAGTCACACTCTACAGTCTATTTGCAAGTCAGCCTCCCCAGTTGCTCCCGTGTATCCCAGAGCCTGGCCTAGGGCTGGGACCACCGCAGCTCAAGATTTACCAAAGTAAGAAACTATGACTCCCATGCGTGCACACGTGTGTAACATACGTGCACATGCACACACACATTCCTAGAGCCGGCTAAGAGTGCAGATGCTGCCATCTACGGGCAAGAAAAGCATTACACCCTTCCTAAGATTCAGACACACCCCAGGAGCCTCCAAGCTCTCAGACTCAGCAGGGTTTAGAATTAGCCTCAGCTAAGTCCAAGTTGGTCTGTTTTCCATTTTGGACCTTAAGGCTGCAGCAGTTTAAAAACAAAGTCGGCAAAACCACTGACTCTAGTCCACCGCCCACACACTCCAGATGGAGCCATAAAGAGAAGGGTTGCGTTCCAGCACTCACAATCCCAGCCCAGGGCTCTCACTACGTGCCTGTTTGCTGAATCATATCTTAGGGCATAGGAACAGAAGATGCCTTCCAATAGTCTCAGCTGTGGAAAGGCCAGCCTTTGGGGAGAGAGCTCGCCTGGTGAAAGTGTGCAAGCCACCACGGAACCCTGTCTGTCTACGTGGCTAAAAAGGAGCTTTCTGCTCTGGAGGTGGGATCGGGGGAGGCTGGAGCAGAGCATTTTTCTCTCCTAAAGGACTGCTCCCAGTTCATTGGAAGGGCCTTCAGACCTGATGGGAGTAACATGATATCTGTCCATTAATGCCATAAGGGTTCGAATGGCCACCCTTAATAACAATAGTTATCATTTTCTGTGCATCTTCCAAGTGTTAAACTCTGCAGGCATCATGTCTCATTGTCGCAATAACTCTACCAGGCAGCAATCTTTGTCCTCATTTTGCAAAGCTAGGACACAAGCTCAGAGAGGTGAAGTAATGTGCTCAGGGTCACACAGCTAAGATGTCTGGGCAGTTCCCACCAATGCAGGCTGCCTCCCCTACGTCTTAACCTCACTATATTTCAAAGCTGTAAGGCTAGGCCTCTTGCTCACTAGAAAAACAAACAAACAAACAAAAAACACGCAAATCTTCGGGTACTCTAGCTCATGGGCCAGCAAAGTTTTTCTGTAAAAGGCCAGACCGTAAATATTTTAGGCTTCATAGGCTACACACCCTCTCTGTTGCATATTTTTCCTTGTTTATTCGTTATTGTTGTTTTTTAACAGCACTTTAAAACTATAAAACCATTCTTAGCTTAGAGGCATACAAAAACAGACTGGGGCCTCCCCAGGGCTGTAGTTTGCATCCATAAATACAAAGAGAATAATGTTTATAATCACAAATACAAAAACTTCTGGTGAAAAGGTTGATCAAATGCTAGCTGTATTTCTCCCCTTCCAATGGCTTTCCACTGAGTCACTCTCTCTCCTAAAGAAGGACCCTACTTTGCTCCATATTTAAGCAGCAAAGTATTTCAGGGGCTGTTCAGATTCTAGAAACTCATAGCTGCAGATAAAATAGATAAGCCAGATATCGAAAACAAGACATTACAAGATCTGGGCTCCAGACTCAACTCTGTTACTGTGACTGGCTCTTTAGCCCTGAAACAAGGGACTTGCCTCTTAAGCCCCTTTTCTCATAAGTATTGATTCTACATGAATAATAGATTGATTTCAAATCTTACAACTGAAAATGTGATCCCTGGACCAGCGACATCAGCATCACTAGAAATGCAGAGCCTCAGGCCCCACCCAGACTTGTGGAACCAGAATCTGCATTTTAACAAAAGCCCCAGGTGATCTTAGAATGCTCTAGAACATATTTTCTGTCCATCTGAAACACAGTCCACAAAATCTTTGTTAGCAATGAGGAGAGAAAGGGTCTACAGACATCTTTCATGATGTCATGGTATTAAGTCCCTGACCTAACGCACGGACCAGTGACTTCATAAAGCACTCCACTCTAGGACCAATTGACAGACCAAGATCTACCACCGGATCTTAAAGTAAAACCTTAGCCAGGCAGAAAGTAGACCTAGGGGAACAGGAGAAGGTGCTATTCCCCATATTATGGAGTGCGGGGGGGAATAGGTTAGAGAGAGAAATGACTTACCCAAGACCACACAGCCAAGACAAACTAAGTGGGCATGACCACCACCAGGTTTCTTAATCTTCCTTAGTCAGGCCTTAGGTTTCATGAGAACTGAAATCATTTCGGCTTGGTAGAGCAGCAATCAGAGGGCTTGCTGTTGGCTTTGGGAAATTCACTTGCTCTCTCAGGGCACAAGTATCTGTAGCCATGAAGTGAGCGGGTAGAGCCAGGCGATTCGTAAGGCCCTGCCATAAAAGTCATGTTCTGGAAAGTTTTGAGATGAGGAGGCAGTCAGGAGGGGTGCCCTATGCCAAGGGTCACCACAGTCACACCAAAGTCTCTGGGGGATGGGACCTCAGAGCCAAGTCCTTCAGTCCTTTGTGAGGAGGCTGAGGAGGGACCTGGTGTGGGCCCTAGTCATGCATCCCCTTGGGGCCACCTCAGCTGGTCACCACAGGCTGGCATGCATGCTAAGGATGTAGCCCATTTTACAGATGAGGAAAATATGTCCTCAAGAGGGACTAGGGCTTCTTACCAAAGCAAAGAATTTTTCCCTTCAGCTGACAACAGTGCAAGGGTATCCTGTATTCAGAAAACCTAACATGTGAACACACAGATGCGTGCAAATGGTTGATCTGGGAATAATCAGGCTCTTTATAAATTGCACATTCTATTTTACCGACAGATTCGTTACAAAAAGGATTCATTCTGGGCTTTGATGGCGAGGCTCCCAGTGCAATGCCTCTCACACTTGAATCTGCACACGAATTCCAT